ATCTAAAATTTTGTGTGCACATGTACAGTACTCACATTCATCTCATGGTCACTCACTGGCCTGTACTTAATCACACGCTCAACTTGCTTGGCTTTCCGTCCAGACATACTTGACTTTAAAATTGTCCGCCTGTCAATACAAAGGAAAAACTATAATTTGTCACAAACTATGCAAAGTTGTCAATTTTGCAACTTTTCAGTGCAGTTCTTTAATTAATAAGAACTAGTTTCAGAAATACTTTTTATCTCATGAACATAACCGGCATAGTTTCCACTTTGGAGGGAGATGAAGCAACCCAAATGAAATTCAAGAGAATTGTTGCCACAGTTTTCAGTGAGGAGGGAGGGGGGGGGAGAGGGTAGTCACAACTTCCCGCTTCCCATACCCCGTTCTCCCGCCTCCAAGACCTTTTTGTCCCTTTCTCTCCTGACTACTGCCCTTTAGCGAGGCAGAGGAGACACTGACACAACTGACACAGTCGACACACCTGCACATGTGTCATTCCATCTCATTCATGACCTATGATGTAAGCAACTTGCAAAGGTTTCCATTTTCACCTGAAGTAATGCTGTTTTTTTTTTATCCCCAGTACGAATTTTTGTTTTCCAATTTTTTTGCGACAAAATTTTGCTTTAAGCCTCAGAGAATGTTAAATGGAAGTCAAGAAACGTTGTTGGGTTCGTTTCTTTGACTGGATGATAACCAGTAACAAATAACGAAAGCTTGCCTTTTTGAATTTCTCTACCGCTCCCCACCATCTTAGAGATCCTGCTTCCCACCCTTTCTTCTCCTGTCTCCCATACCCTCCCCCTGTTTTCCCGGGGTCCCACCCCCCTGTCCCTCCCCACTTTTCAAGGCATTCAACTGAGTTGATGTTATAATAATTTAACAACTTTAATACAAACTTTGATACTTGTGATTTATAAAGAAAGACAAATGACAAGCAATTCTTCAAGTTTGCCACCTTTTGTCACGTAAATCGAGTAAGTAAATAAAGAAGTCTAATTGGAGAGGAGATGTCTTGAATATCAATGAAATAATCACCATAAGTACTCTTCACCATTGCTTTTAAATCAGATAATCAGCCTGGTCTTTACATCATTGTGATTGAAAAGAAGTAAACAAAAAATGTCAACTTGTAGCCACTTCCTGTATTGTCCATGCCTGCACACACACTTCAATTATCTCAGAGCAGAAAGAGAGGCAATGCTAATAGTCGCTTTACTTACTTTTTAAGTAATAAATAATCAGCATTTGGTTGAACTGGACGACAGTCTGCTCTTTGAACTACGACTCCTTCAATAGTTAGTTGAGCTGAAAACAGAAACTCAGCTTAGCTATGAATACTATAAGATAATATTACGATATTAGTCAATATTAGAGTAGTTCGTTACCATGTACAACTAAAGTGTTAACTTGTACAAGTGGTATAATATACCCCTCTAACCCCTCTACAGAAATGAATAATAAAATCAGCCATAATTGAGAATGGAGCAAATGACGACAGCAGAATGCACAAATAAAGTGCCAGAAAATGAGTAAAACTCTAAGGAATT